AACCACATCATAAAGCACTCATTAATCATTGAATGAAGCAGTCACACATTATTAAGCTTACGCAGTTATCAGCTTAATTGATGCATGAGTAGTTTGCAATGCCAAACCAGGAAGCTTCTTTTATTTCCTTTATTTTGCTGTTTTAGTGTTCTTTAAGATGTTAGACTTGTTGATTGGTTGGTATAGAAGTTTGATCATGCTTTCAGCTTTCACGACTTGGACCCGTATTTAAAGTGCATTGCTTGATTTATCACAGTAACACCCCTCACATGTCCCCCAGTTGCTTAAACACTTAATCTCTAAGGCTTGTTCTTTGCATCATATATACATGAGACCTTAACCACACGTTAACACGTTCATCAACCTTCTTTAATTAAATCCTGCACACTTCATCAAGTTTTGACAGTATGGATAGTATCCTGAGTTACACATTTATTATTTTAGATATATTTGAAGGTCATTAGGAGCTTCATTTGTTTTTGTGATGTGTTTCGAGGATGGATAATAACCAGGCGGTCCGTCCCGAAGACAGTAGTGTTGTTATTAGTGTTGTGCAAACTCTTGGATAGCAGGTTTCTAATCTGTTTTGGTAACAGGTTATTAGGATTCCTGATCTATTTTGGTAATATGATTCTTAATCTGTTTTGGTAACATGTTATTAGGATTCCTAATTTTTTTGTTTTTTGTTTTAGAATTCCTAGTCTGTTTTGGTTTTAGGTTTTCTATATATATGGAACGCCTTAGAAGAGATTAGTATCATCAAAAAGAGGAGAGTTGTAATCAGAGATTAGAAAGACTTTTGAGTATTATGAGAGTGAGATATTGTGAGCAAGTTGAGAGCTTTGGTTGATGGTTAGTTTGTGAGTGTTGTGAGATTGTAATTCTTTGTACTCTCCTTGATTTAGTGGAATCTCCTCATCCTCTCCTCGTGGACGTAAGCAAATTGCCGAACCACGTATATCTCTGTGTTTGTGATTGATCTGTCGTATTTTAGTTTTGGATTATGCTCGTGTGTGATTGGTTATTCTTCTCCCGTGCTTACGACTTATTTGGTGAGCAAGCACGCTTCCACATAGTCGCGCGATAATTGGTATCAAAGCTCAGATTTCAGATCTAGGGTTTTGGCATTCGGTGGAGGAAGATTCGTCGTGGAAGCTTGGTTCTTAGAGTTCTAGGTTTTGGTAGAGATAGGATTTGAAGTTACCGTTAGAGATCTCGTTTTCCTCGTGTGGTTAGGAATTCTATTTGGAATCCAATCTAGGGTTTAGTTGGGTAATTTCTTATTCCTTTCAAAGTTTGAATCTTTCTTTGCAATTTTGAGTTCGTGAGTATGAGTGAAGAAGTTGGTGAATCCAGCAAGATGGCGAGTACAGTCCAAGTTGGTTTTCAGAACACCAAAATTAGTGTGGTGAAGTATGACGGCAAGATCAACTTTGGTTTGTGGATAAGCGACGTTCAAGATGTGCTCAATGCTCAGAATTTGGAGGAGACCATCATGGTCCAAGAGAGACCACCAAAATATGAAGAGGTGATATGAGAAAAAATGAATAGGAACGCTTGTGGGGTGATCAGATCCTGTTTGGAACAAGAATTAAAGTATGATGTGATTGGGATGACGTCTGTAATAAAGATGTGGGAAATTCTCAACAATAAGTACCTTACAAAGAGTGTTGAGAACCGTTTGCACTTACTGTGAAGATTTTTCAAATTTCAGATGTCCCGGGGCATCTCACTAGTAGCTCATGTGAACAACTACACTAAGTTGTTATCGGACTTGGCGAATGTTGACGAGAACATATCGGATGATCACAAGACGATTATTTTATTGGCTCCTTACCGGATAAGGAGTATGATACCTTCGTGCTTACTTTGTTGAATGTGAGGTCATCTATCAGCTATAGTGAAGTTACTAATGCTTTGACAAACTATGATTTGAGGAGGAAGGACAAAGAGACTTTCTGCGCTAGTACATAAGGAGAGGCCTTGTCGACGAGAGGTAGAAACCCATATCCAAAAGGTGGTAATAGAGGAAGGTCAAAGTCAAGAGGTCGTCACCAGCTAGGAAATAACCAATGTGCATTCTTCAAGGAGCAGGGACATTGGAAGAGATACTATCCAAAGATCAAGGAGAAAGAGAATAGCAAGAAAAAG